ACAGCTTGGAGCGAGCGCTTCTACCTCTACGCACGCCCGCTCTAAGTTCAAACACAAAATCAGAAGGCTTCAAAACAGGTAGGAGCGGGCGCTCCTCAAGAGTTGCACGCTCGCTCCTCCATGCTATGTACATGTCAGTGTCAACAGGTTTCAGTTGGAGCAGGTGCTCCACTAGTGCTGCACGCACGCTCCTTTCGAAGTCTAGCAATCAGAATTGAAAGTCAAAGTTAGGAGCCGGCGCTCGAAGTGCACTACAAGCCCGCTCCTAGAAATGCAAATTCGAGGCAAGAACTTCAAAAAGTTCTGAAGCGGGCGCTCTACCAGAGCTGCACGCTCACTCCTATCTGGGTTTCACATCAAATAACGAGTTCAAGGTTTGGAGCGGGCGCTCCACACAATCAGCACGCCCGCTCCAACCTTATGCCTTAGCTAAATTCAAATTAGGAACGGGCGCTCCGAGTGACCAACACGCCCGCTTCATGTCTAAGTTTAGTATCAGGAACTCTGTTAAAGTTCAGAGCAGGCGCTCTTGAAGCACTGCACGCACGCTCCGAGTCTAGGTTGCTGAGGCAGGATCTTTATTAATGGCTGGAGCGCGCACTCCACCCTCACTGCACGCCCGCTCCAGACAAATCCGGTTAAAAAAAAAGATACTTTCTATTCTCTTTTAACCCACTTACCTTCATTCCTCACCATTCATTCACCATTATCATACTCTCTCTCCTCCTCCCATCTATTTCTCTCTCTTAAAACCCCATTTTTCTCCAATTTCTCTCTTCAAAATCTTCATTTTCTCACTAAAAATTCACAAATTCTGGTTTTTCACTCAATTCTCTTTCTATCAACACCAAATTTATCCAAATTCGAGCACAAAAGTTTCGAACCCTAGAAGGCCACCATTGTTAAAGCAAGGAAAGCTTGGATTTTTGAAGGAATTGGAGTAAAGGAAGCTTGAATTGAGCAAAACCTGGGAGTTTAAGAGTATTTCCATATTCTTTTAGTATAAATTTCCTTCCCTACTTCACTTTCCCTCTTAAACCCTAGTGGTTTTTCTTCAAATTTCATTATTCTTGCTTATTTTTGATGAATTGTGTAGCTTTCATAATATGTTGAAAATTAGAGAATTATTGTGCTTCATATGTTAGGGTGATTGATATTTATGACAGAACTTTGTTTGCTAAGTGAGTGATTGAGAATTGTGATTTTTATTGATTGAAATTATTGTGTGTTGGTTTGAATTGTTGTTGGTTGTGAATTTTGTGTGTTAGAAAGTATATTTGGTATTGTTTGAAACAAGTACTTTGTTTAAATCGGGGGTTTAAAGTTAAGGAGGTTCTTGTGTAGTGAGTTTTGGTGTTTGTGGTGAGGTGTTTTTGAGTAAATTCCTTTACCCTTTTCCTTTCTCTAGTCAACATGGTTATGAGATTGTTTGGAGGTGGAGGGGTAAAGAAAAGAAAAACTCAGCATATAAGAATCAAAATAAATGAAAACCAACCTAGTGACAACCAAAATCAAGACCAAAACCAAAACATCGCTCCTCCAACCACTAAAATCCCAGAAAAATTCAAGAAATACCACACTGAGCTTTTAAAACGAAAAATCCTTCCCACTAGATTCTACGACCAACATGCTTGCCAACTTTTAGGAGTCGATGAAAGAGTTCGGCGTGTGGCCAACAATTTCGGATGGTTACACTTCCTTAAGAAGAGGGAATTAACCTACAAATCGATCACACTCGAATTCCTTTCAACCATTACCATGTGCCGGATAAACGGTGAGGGAGAGCCTCTCGAGTGTGAGATTAAGTTTAGGCTTTTCAACCAAGAAAAGACCCTAACCTTAACTCTCCTCAATGAAATCTTTGAGTGGCCCGTCTTTAACCAAATTGACCATCCCGATAGTTTCTACCTATCAAGCTATGTAAGAGGAAAATTGGTGGAATACTATCGCGAAATATCCCTACTTTACCACTCAGTCTAGCAATGCTAGCCATATTGTCCACCCTATGCTCCGTAATTCATGAGAATTATAGGGTATGCTTGCTTCTCGAAGCAAGACCAAGGGAAGCTAACTAAAGAGGAGATGAAATGCCTCTTTATAGCTTCCCTATTTGAGGGGGACCTCGAGGGTAATGTTAATATGGGATATTTGTTTATCCAAAGGTGTTTAGAGATAAAGAGGAGTACGGAGTTGACAAGGGAGATAAAGTGTGGGGGAATGATCACGATAATTGCCAAAGCATTGGGGTTTACCAATTGGGTTGAACAATTGACCCCGATAAATGGTTCCAATGTCCTTGACATTCAAGGACTTTCTTCAATGCACATGCTTGTGGAAGTCCGAGGTCGTCTGACCAAATATTCTTGGTTGGTCAAGGGTAAACACCGTTGCATGCTACCCAATGCGGCACTAATGAACACCGTAGGGAGCACTTGGCAAGTGCCAGTTGAGCCAACCCTCGCGGGAGTTCCCGACCTTGACCAACCATCCCAGCCCCGTCGCCATAGCATTTCTACCATTCCTCAATATATGGGCGGGGCCTCCTCTTCTTCTTCCACTTTTGACCTAGAGTTGGCTTTCAACCATCTAAACCTAACAAACCAAAGAATTTTTCAAGAAAACAAGTACCAAAGCTATGTTTCGAAGATGAGTTATCAAAACCAAGTTGAGAGGGGAGACTTTCTCCCCTATGTCAACTACCCTAACCGCCCGGTTCAAGAAGGGTCGGTTTCGGGTTGGAACAACAACCAACCCACCTATTCTTATTAGCAAGGACCTCGTAGCTCCATTTCGGAGCTACGATCTTATCCTCCCTATGATTATACACAACCCGGGGGTTGTGATTCTAGGGGGAACCCTTCTTATTACCACGTCCCCTAGACATGTGCTAATATGACTCCCAAGGAGATCGATAACCACCCCTTAAGGGGATATTTTGGGTTTCCACCCGGGTATGATGGTGGTTGGGGCACGAGTAATGCACCGGATTTCGACCACTACCGAAGTTGCCCCAACTATGATCTTCCTCCCTACATGGATTAATCCTCTTATACTGGCGATGTAGACCCAAACTACAATTATTTGCTTGGAGTAGCATGTAGACATTTGTATTTACCGTTACCTTCTCTTCTTACCCATCATTTGTAACACTGAGGCCGATGTCGAGTTCTAGCTTGGGGGGGGGGGGGGAGATGTTTCTCATTGTGTACATTTAAGTGCGGGAAAAGTAATCAAATGTCTAACTTGGGGGGAGGTCTTGAGGTCTTTGTGTATAGGGTGGGTTCTTGGTTTTGATAATGTATGTGCTTATATGTGATGCTATTTATGTGCATATATTGAGATGTGTGAGTTTGTATGTGGAATGGTTGCATGTAAGGCTTGGTTTAGCCTTTGGAAATTGTGGTTGGTTTCATATTGTATTATGTTATAGTGCGAGTCTACTTTAGGTTGGTTGTTGTTCTTTCATGATGATACGGGCACGCCTAGGCTAGAATGATTGCATATTGATGTGTTTGTCTCACTTCTCTACTATATGTGTGCTTTAGAGCGTCTTTCTTCTATGATTAGCTTTGGTTTATTTGTGGTTGGTTGTCTTGATGGTCGAATGCATGGTATGGTTGGCTTGCGTTTGGTCTTTATTGATGATGATATTTTTTGTGATGATGTTGATGATTGATGAGTTGATTCTTTCCCCTAAAAATCCAAAACCCTAACATCCAAATTTCTTTCTTCCTACAAATCTTCTTTTCCCTAATATCCAAATCCCTAGTATCCAAATTCTTTATCTAGTTTTCTTATTCCCCATTCTTTCACCTAAAAAAATATTGAAAAATGAGATTTGAAAAAACGAATTTGTTTTTGCCTTTGATTGGTTTGCGATGATGATATTGGATTGTCTGTGGTAGATGCTTGCTTTCTTTTTGTAATAAAATTTCGAGCATGGTTTAGATGCCCTAGGTTGAACATAAAATTTAGTTTAGGCTAGTATGAGAATAACCTTACCGAATGTATGAGACTTAAAAACTAGGTTTGTGATAAGATGGTGTCGCCTGTCTCAAAGGAATTTGAACCCCGAAAGGTAGTATTTTATTCCACATTTGTCCTAAAAAGTGAGGTTGTATGTTTTCAACCCATCAACATTTTGAATGAGTGGAAAAGATCCTCTTTAAATTAGTACCTAGATCGAGAACTTGAGCTCCAACTCCTAAGATTGCGGCTTAAACTACTTTTGTCATTAATGAAGATTGTTTCATAAGGTGTTTATCCATAGTGTAAGTTAATGCACCTGGATTTAGTTTTATTAAGTGTATTTTCCTTTTTCATTGTAGATAATAGTTGGTTTCGTAGATGACTTAGGGTTGTTCTTAATGCATTACATTTTACCTAGGAATCAAATAAAAGCTCTTTTAGTTTTTTTCTATGCCTTAACTTGGTGTCGAGATCCTCATATTTTTATGTATTGTTTGAAAGAGTAGTTGAAGCCGTCGTCGGTGGAGGGAGTTGGTTCACAAGCATATGGAGAGGGTACTTTTTCATTGAGATGTCGAGTGTTTTAAAACCCGCTACAGTTATGTTTTTCCGGCTCCTTTGAGGAGTCATGACACACTACCATTAGCACTACAAAAAAATAGCAATTTAGAGACGGATCAAAACCGTTGCTAATTTGTACGATTCCGTCGCTGAAAGTAATTCGCGACAGATTTTGCAACGGTAACAACCCGTTGTTAAAACTGTTGTTGCTAAATGATTGTAGCGACAAATAAATTATTGTTCTGTCGCTAGTTTTACCAACAGATTAATTTTTCTGTCGTTAGTTCTAGCAACGGATTTCCTTATTTCGTCGCTAGTTTTAGCAACGAATTTTCTCATTTCGTCGCTAGTAGTGAAATTTAAATACGAAATACATTTTTCCAAATAATAGTTATAGAAATAATAATGATGAAGATTATACGGAGTAATAACTTGTTAGTGTTGCGACAATTGTGATTTGTGAACTAATATATGAAACAGAGTATACAATTTTATTGAATTGAAGCAATAAAACTCCATGTTACAATGTATATATACAGATTTGGGTAATATATAACCGTTTTACAAAATTAAAAAAACATAAAAATAAAACTTGCGGTTCCTTCCTTTGAACTCTTCATTTCTCTATCCTTTGTAATCTGCTGCTGTCCATATCCTTTGTTCAATTGTATAAGATTGATTTATCTGTTGACAGAAAAATTAAAACACAAAATTAGCCCACTTATCAATTAAATGAAAATTATCTTGTAAGAAAAAAGAAAGGAATTATACCTTGTCAAAATTTTTAAAAAATCTAAATTATTTTAAATAACTAATACTGACATGAACAATTGATACCTAAAAAATTAGATTTAAAATCAATCAATTTAGATAAATCCAAGAGGCATGAACTTGCATAAATTTTATTGATGAAATGAAAGAAGAAACAAAAATAAAAAAAGAGAATAAACCAAAAAAAACAAAGGATAATTAAAGTTAGTTGAGAAAATCTATGGATTTCTTGTAAAAAAATGAAAGGGATTGATTAAATTGGCCTAATAAAGAGATAAAGAGAGGACAGAGAAAGTACCTTCAGGGGAATCAACGAGCTATTGTAAATTCATTGAAGAAATCACTTTGAACCACCAAAAATTTAATGGAGAAAATAGAGAAAGAAGTTGATTCCAAGGTAGAAGAAAGAGATAAGATATAAAGAGGGGAGGCAGGATATGTCTAAAACCTAATTGCTTCACATATATATATAGGAAGGGTGGGTGAGCGTGAGTTGGCAATCCCTACAATCCAACACCAGCGACAGATTTATTAAGATTGTCGCTAGTTTAGCAACAGAAAATAAAACTGTTACTAGGTTAGCAACAGAAAATAAAATCCGCCGCTAGCTCGGCAACGGAAAATAAAATCTGTAGCTAACTTAGCAACAAAAAATAAATTCTGTAGCTACCTTAGCAACAGAAAATTTATAATTGTCGCTAGTTTAGCTACGGAAAATTTATAATCCGTAGCTAAATTAATTTTTCAACGGATTTTTGAATTCTGTTGCTAACTCAGCTACAATTTATAATTTGTCGCAAAATATCCATCTCTAAATCAAGTTTTTTTTGTAGTGTAGGGGGGATTTGAACTTTGTGATGGGGACGCGGTAAGATTTGTTGAATAGGCTTAAGTTGAGTATTTTCGTAAAGGTTAGCTAGGTCTTGGCTAGTCATGACCGTAGTTAATCATAGGCATATACCTCATGCTCGAGTTTTATTGCTTAAGGATTCTTTTATCTTTGCATGTGCTTTTCTTTGAGCAAACTAATCAATCGGGTTGTTTTGTGCTATGTGAATTGCTTGAGGACAAGAAATTGGCTAGCTTAGGGGGATTTGATAAGTGGTTTATTTGACCACTTATTGTGGTGATTTTAACCCGGTTTTGTAATCTTTCCCCGTCTTTCTAACCCCCTTTTGTATATAAATGTTGCATTTTGGCTTTGGCCCTGGCCTCCTTGTGTGTTTGTATACTTAATTTCCATGTATAGGTTAAGTGAGGCAAAGCAAGGAAGACCATGGATTAAAATAGAGGCAGAAAGTGATGAAGGGAGAGGCCGCTCCTGGTGGAGCAGGCGTGCACCTCCCCAGGAGCGGGCATGTTGGGTTAAGTTAAAGCAACTACATATTTAATCACATAATTAACAACATAAAAGAAACCCTTAATGCGTAGCGTAGCGTAAATACCCAAGCCTATAAATTAATCACAATAAATGTCCAACGCTACGCGGAAGAGAAACCCGCCCAAGACCCGCTCACTAATTAAAGCAACTACATATTTAATCACATAATTAACAACATAAAAGAGAGAAAGAGAAAAGACATTCTTACCCTTAATGCGTGCTTCGCTCGATTCACGAAATCTTAGTTCAAAGCCCGAGCCTCGCAAGTGCGACAGCCTCCTACGGCTCGCACCCTCGACCCGACCCGAATGGTCTTAGTCCTGAAGGTTAGTCGGGACTTGACCAATTAAAACTAGAGTATGTATTACGAATTTAAGGTTTTCTCACTTTACAAAGGAGATGCCTTTTTAGTTCCACTCAAGTGTTCTTCCCAAAACCCAAAACTTGGGTATTTATAGGAATGGAGACTTAATCTCCATTCTCCTAGCAATGTGGGAGATTTGCAATTTCCTCTATTTTATTTTAATCAAAACAAAATAAAAATGCAATTCAATCAACAAGCTACAAGTCGAACAAGGAGGGAGAGAGAGTAGGTGACGACCACCAAGGGGGGACCAACTCACCTTGCTCCCCAAGCCAAGCACCAACCATTGGTCCCCACACAAAAACTGGACCACTTCACCACTTGGCTGGCTGGCAGCCTGCCTTGGCTGCCAATGCTGCCTGCTAGCGCCTAGAACCAAGGCTGGGTTGTCCTGCCAGCACGCCTATGCATGCGTGCTGTTAGCAACCCCACATGCTGGGATGATGCCTATGCGCTGCTCTGCGAGGTGCTGGGCTGCTGCTATGCGAGGCCTAACACGCATAGCATGTTGCTGCTTGGTGCCCCTACGCTGGCACGCAAGCATAGTATGCAGCAATGCCTGGCCCAGCTTGGCTAGCAAAAACGCACAGCCTAGCACTTGCATGCACAGCACGCTCCTAGCATGTGCGATGCTTGGTGCTGGCGATGGCTTGGTGCTTGGCCTAGAATGTTAGCAAGCACGCAACGCACTATGCTTGCGATGCTTGCGGGCTGTGCTAGCCCATGCCTAGCATGATGCGATGGCTGGCGCAGCTAAGCTAGCACGCTTAGCCATGCATGCACAGCCACACCACACACACACATGCACGCATCATGCGATGCTTATGCCATGCGATGTGCGTGTGCTAGGGGATGCTAGGCACCCATGATGCGCATGGGTTGGTGACCTCGCCTAGCCTAGCACTCGCATGGCTAGGCCAATGCAAGGCTACGGCTTGGCTCGAACTTGTCGCTTGTTTGATTTTATGTCTCGTCGAATTCTAAATTCGAATCGATTTGCGACGCTTGGTCTCGACGCTCTAAGCTCGATATCCGACGTCTTTGTTCGTAATACACTAATGACTCATCTAATGGTTTGGATTAATTCGTCGATTCGGATCAGTTATTCGATTGGGGTGCTACCCGAAGGGTTCAGTCAAGATTAAGCTGTAATGTTAATTATGCATTAATATTACTGATCGGAAGCAGCCTCCACCTAGTCATTCTGATCACTTGACCTCACTGAAGAATTAGCTTTCTAATAATTTCGAACCCTCTATCGGAATAATACACTTGTTTAAAGGACACCTTTCCTTTCAATCTCCCACTTGTCCTTCCGGACAAGTGTGCATTTAGTGTATAGCCCTTTTCCTATGTCGCTTAATGTCTCTTCATGAACTATAAGGTAAGATTCTTCGTCATATGTATTACGTCCAGAAGTGTTTCTCGATTCCCGAGTTTCACTTTCAATAAGTAGATGATTTCTAAAATCCATCTGAGCACGGCCATGCATTTTTATAGTCTCGCTCTTCGAGAGGCCTTGTAAACAACAAAGACATATTCCCTATTGTTATTAGGGGGACATTCCCAGTATTGTACTGTAAGATTCCCTTACTAAGAGGACCTAGTCGCTTGAGTGTTGCTGTTATAATCCCCATTTACGGCAGACGTTTGACAACATCAAAACAACTAGTACTCAAACAAGAGAACTTGCAATACTCATGGTCAAGGAAAAAGGTTCCTATAGCTATAATGAGAAATATACTTGTGACAAATTTATATCTCTTAAAGTATTCTCATATGTCGATCCGATTCAGTTCCAAACTAGTACCTGTGCAAATGATTTATGACATTCATGTCATTGTAGCACAAGAAACGGTGCTATAAATCATACTACACACTACTCTCAAGTGGTCATTAATCGTCCATCGTTTAAATGACCTTGATTAGGGATAATTTTTGATTGAAATATTCAATGTTCACTTAACAAGTGTTTATTTATCCAAGACATGGTCTTAATACCTTGTTTTGAATATTCTCAGTAATCGAATGGACACATTATTTAATTCTAAACCACGATTAAATAGAAATGGAGTAATAATAAATTTGCAGAAAATTTAATTGCTCTAAAATTGAATGGTTCAACATAGTGTTTTACATTAAAACATCAAGTTTAATTAAAACACATATACATGGAATTCAAAGCCAATCTCCAACATGCTTGATCCCCATTGCCTCAACGTGCTTGTTGTGCTTCACTTGAGGCAAAGGTTTAGTTAATGGATCGGCTACATTGTCGTCCGTTCCAATCTTACAAATTCTGATTTCACCCTCGGACTTCCATTCCCTTATCATGTGAAATCGACGCTTGACATGTTTGACCTTCTGGTGTTCCCTTGGCTCCCTAGCCTGAGCAATTGCTCCATTGTTATCACAATGAAGGTATATTGGACCCTTAATGGAGGGTATAACACCAAGTTCACTAATGAACTTACAAATCCAAACTGCCTCCTTAGCCGCTTCCGAAGCTGCCAAGTATTCGGCTTTAGTTGTAGAATATGCAGTGGTACTTTGCTTAGCACTCTTCCATCTAAACACTCCTCCATTTAGGCAGAATATGTACCCTGACTGCGACTTGGAGTTGTCTCTGTCAGTCTTGAAGCTTGCGTTAGTATAACCTTCAACAACCAAATCATTACAGCCACCATAGACTAGAAACGTATCCTTGTTCGTTTTCAGGTACTTTAGGATTGGCCACAGTCCAATGCGCCTCTCCTGGGTCTGATTGGTATCGGCTCGTAGCACTCAAGGCATACAATACATCTGGCCTAGTACATATCATGGCATACATGATCGATCCAATAAGCGAAGCATATGGAATCTGACTCATCCTCTCTCGCTCATCAGGTGCCTGTGGACTCTGCTTCTTGTTGAGAGTTATTTCATGGGACATGGGTAGGTGCCCTCTCTTGGCCCCTTCCATGTTGAATTGAGCCAGTACCTTATCAATATAAGTACTTTAGCTCAATCCAATCATCCTCTTAGATCTATCCCTATAGATCTTGATGCCTAATATGTACTGTGCCTCTCCCAAGTCCTTCATTGAAAAGCACTTACCAAGCCAGCCCTTTACAGACTCTAATAGTTTAGTGCTGTTTCCAATGAGTAATATGTCATCGACATATAAGACTAGGAATGCATGTCACTCCCACTGACCTTCTTGTAAACACAAGACTCATCTAAATTCTTGACAAAACCAAACTTACTAATGGCTTCATCGAATTGTAGATTCCAACTTCTGCTTGCCTTCTTTAGTCCATACATAGACTTCTTAAGCTTGCATACCTTCCCAACATTGCTTCGATCAACGAAAACTTCCGGTTGTGTCATATACACAGTTTCTTCGATTCCTTCATCGGACACTCCGTTCCATTGTGGAGTTCCCAGAGGTGTCAACTCTGAAAGAATACCATTTTCTTTCAAGTGATCGTCGAATTCATGGCTCAAATACTCACCACCTCGATCCGATTGAAGCGCTTTGATTTTGGTGTCAAGCTGATTTTCATCCTCACTCTGAAACTTTTTGAATTTCTCAAAAGATTCAGATTTGTTCGATATAAGGTAGACATAGCCATATCTACTATAGTCATCCGTGAAGGTAATGAAATATCTATAACCATGCCTTGCGGGTGAACTAATTGGTCCACATAGATCCGTATGTATTAGACCTAATAAGTCACTAGCCCTT